GACCCTATAGCCTCCAGGGTTTCACTGTCCATATCAGTAGATACTTCTGGCAGGGTCTGTAAGCCATTGATTACAGCTATATTTAACCTATGGGAACCAAAGCATAAGACCCCTGATAGTACTTAAATCTATTATAACACTTAGTATATTAGAGTTAGTCATTTAACCAACTCTTCCTGGAAGATAAGTGTCGCCAGTGCAGAGGTATGTCTCTTCATGGTTTAGTCCGGAATACTAAGCACATGCTTGGCCCACAGTCACATAAGGCGAATCAAAAAAATATGTATACATTATTGCACTGGATAGACTGAATCACTTCCAGTTGGCTTTCAGGGATTCCAGAGAGACTTCCCATAAAAAGCTGAGTCTTAATGAAAGATCTAAAAAGGAGGAAAGGAGTGGAGTGTACCACCTCCACCAAATAGAAAAAGCTAATTCTGTTGAGGCAGCACAACATAATCTTTTGGGCCCTCCTCATCCTTAGAGAAAGATAGGTAACAAGAGTATTCAACTTTTTAGAATAAAACAGCAAGGATTAAGCTATAAATGCAGAACTATTATACTAAGAAAATGCCTCCCAGATATTGTTAAAATAAAGCAAATAGTATCTTATCCAGCACAAAACCACAGTGAATTGATTTAATCAGACATTATCAGAGCAAGGAAGAAATAACATTCTGGCTTTAACGGCAAAAAAAAAAAAATCCCAACCACCTCAAATTGCTTTGCAGGTACTAGGGACACTCAGCAAGTGTTCTTTGGAATAGAGTTTAAAAATATTGGGCCTTGGGTTAGAGGGGAACAGGATCACAGAGGTTTTTGTGTAGGAGAACTGCCCAGGTGTGGGGCTGCCTGGAGGCTCAGCCAGGTAGCTGGCTGCTGCAGCCTTGGCTTGGCTCCCATCTGTCCCAGAAGACACTAAGAACACTGCTGGGTTAGCTGCCATGAGGTGGTGATGGATCACAGTTGTGGCCTGATTCTTGAGGAGTCATGGATTCACTGCAGTGTGTGATGGCCATATGTGAACCCTGGCCGTGTGTGAGGTCCCCTGGGAGGAGATGAAGGAGGAGAAAACCACATAACACATCTCTTTCTGCAACAACCACCATTAAAACAAGCCAGAGCCTGAGATTTCCCAGGCAGCATGGTCTGCAGGTTAGAGGTGCTGCTTCCTGATTCTAGGCACCTGAGATTTTCGGTGTCATGAAAGGAAGGCATTTGTTGGCCCCTGGAGATGAAATATGGTACAGTCTTCACCTTCTAGGGTTCCAGCACTGGCTCAGAGTTGACAGAAGACAGAATTACAGAGCCCAAGCACAAAGCAGGTGGAACCTCAAAGGGCTTGCTCGACCTTCTGGTGTTTGTGGGGCCTCTACATCATCTATGCCAACAATTAATCTAACTGAGCCTTTCCAGTAATGGGAAACTCACTTCTTCTGTGGGATCTCACAAAGCTGGATAACCTTTCTAATTGTAACCCTGGCCAAGAGTCTCATTCCAGCCATCAACACAGCTTCCCTCCAATCCAGGGCTCTCAAGAACCTCTGTGTTAGAGATGGACCACCTGACAGTGTGGGGTTCTTGATTTGGCTCACCTGTAACTTAGGGATCTTCATCATCTGCAGGTCTTTTTGTCTCCAGATAGTTTTGTCCAGTTGTCCTCAGTCATCACTGTCCCTGAGAATTAGACGCTTAAAAAATCCTGATGCCCAGACCTCAATAAATCATATTCTCTGGGGATAGAACCAAAGCACTGGTATTTTTAAAGCTCTCTAGATGATTCCACTGTATAGCCAAGGTTGAGAACCACTGCCTTGCTCCCTGAACCCGGTCAACTTCTTGAGTTTTATGCTATGGAATCAGGTATCCTAGATTTGAATCTTGACTCTACCACTTGGGCAATTCCTTGTGTTTTTGTTTTCTCATCTGTTATATGGGGATAATAGCCTCTATCTCAAAGAGCTGTTGAACAAGCTACATGAAAACATGTGTAAGTCAAGAATAGCCTCTGGCTTATAGTAAGTGTTCTATAAAATTTAACTCATGTGCCTAGGACAGGGCCTAGCAAATGTTGACGTTAACATTTGCGCACTTACCTTCTGGGGTTCCAGCATGGGCTCAGAGTTGAGACCATGAGATAGGCATTGTTCTAAGCACTTTACTTTTGTTGTGTTGAAGATATAGTATAAGAAAAATTACATAAATAAAATGCGTCTTCAGAACCTCTTTACCTGGTAGGGCCTATTGTTTCAAACTACCCATTTAATTCATACTCTGGTGAACTTTCTGAACCCCTTATCAACTCATGTGTTTTCTTTCCTCCCATGAAAATTCTCCTTAAGAGCTCTACAGAGGATCTGTATATTTTAAAGCATCAAATGTGACTAAAGAGCTCATCAATGGTCCATTCAATATATTTTGTTGCCTCTTGTTAAGCTTAGTGCCTATTAATGAGCTAGGCATTTAAGAGATGCCTAGTAAATTCTTTGTGGAATGACTAAACTAATTAACCTGGTAAAAGACTATGCTAATGTATTTTTGCAAAAGAGATGGAGAAAGACTGAATTCACACAAATGGTGGGGATGCTGAGAAAATAGTTCTACAAAGTATCTGCTATGTGCTAGGCACTTTCCACAATCATGAGAAGTGAGTGTTCATCTCTTGGTGTACAGCAATCAGATTGGTGTACCAATCTCTTGGTGTACAGCAAATCATCCCAAACTTAGTCTCTTAAAGTAATAATTAGCTTGCTTGTGAAATTCTACTTAGGTGATTACATAGTAGGAACAGCACCTCTTTGTTCTAAGACAGCTCAACAGGGGGCTGAAGTATCCACCTTCAACACAGTTCATTCCTGTACTCCAGCCTGTATGGAACCATCCTAGTGGCATAGGTGCCTCACTCACAACCCTAGGCTGGCTCTGGGTTTGATGGGTTGGGATAGAAAACTCTTGCCATGAAAATACAGCTCTCCATCTCAGCCTCTCCACTCCCCATTCCAAAGGGAGACGTGTCTGTGCTTGGGGAGAAGCCAAGCAAAGCAAAAGATTTCAACAGCGAAAGGAGGAAACACACCCACTGAGGTTCTCATAGCAACATAATCACGCACAGGCAGCAGCCTATTTCGGTGGGAGCTTGTTTCAGCTCCCCTCCTCCTTGGTTAGTCACAGAATGGATGCACAAGCAGAAGCAGTGTGGGGTGGGGGCAGAGTGTCAGGCTGAAAGTCAGGAGGCTGGGGAGCTGAGTCTTCTGCTTGCAGATGGACCACCGGCAAATGTCCTCCTCTCTCGGATCTTGGGGGTCTCTGTAAAATGAGAGGATTGGACCCACAGAGCAGTGAGGATCCTCTTTTCTGATTTCCTTTGATTGCACAAACACTGAGACATTTTTGGTAGGGGATTAGATGTCTCTCAGAATCTTTTTGTCTCTGAGAAGATGCTTAGAGAAAAAATAATTCAAGAGGGTAAAAGTCATTCTCCAGATCCAGGTCTTTTATTTCTCTACCACTTTCTGCACGTTGGCAGGATGTGAAAGGGAAGAATGACGGGGTGTTCTCAAGGACTCTGCTCACTCACCCCCAACTCTAACCCAGGTCTGTGGTCTGAGAAGGGAAAAGGTTAAGGAGGTTGAGGTCATTTAATTTTATTAAAGTTTACTCTCATGCGCGCACACACGGTCCCATTAACTCAAGCCTCTTGATAGATTTTCATCCTTCTCATTCTTCATCCTCTCCTCTCCTCTCTCTATCCCTCACTTCTCACCTCTACTTAGTGCAATGTATCCTCTCTTTCCCAGAGGACCAGATGATGGAGGCATGTTTCCTGCTGACAACGATTCTTCAGTGGACTCTGGGGTTAGTTGAGGACAGTCAGGCTCACACTTCCCAGCTATCACAGGTGATGATAAAAGCAAAGAGGGCAATTGGAAGCGACCTCTCCAAACAAGTACAGAGATGAGGTGAAGAGAGCCAGGTGCTCACGGAGCACGTTTTAGGTCTCCGTCCTTGACTTGTAGGCTGAGAGCTTGAAAGTGCGGCTGTTTTAAGGAGTCAGCCTGAGTGTCCTGTTGCAAAGGGAAAGGCAGAGTGGGGTCTCCCCCGCCTTTGTTCTATCTCCCACTGCCCGACAGATGGCCAGTAAGACAGAGAAAAAGAAGCTCTCAAAGTGAAGACAAGAATGCATTGTATAAAAATTCACACCCCCTGCTGCCGCCCAAACTCCCTTAAAAAAGGATCAAGAGAATCCTGATGGGTACGTGACATCCTCCCTCTCTCCCATAAAAGGGACTTCAAAATCTGGCGATGGTGGGGGAAGGGTGCGGAGGGAGAAGAGAAATGCGTGGGCAGGGGGCTGCCAGGGAAGACTGGAGTGGGGGCGGGGGGCACGACAGCAGTCTCGAATCTGACTTTCTCCCACCCTCTTTTCCAGGCCACTGTGGCCGCCACCTTTGCCCCTCCCTCTCAGCCTGAGAGGGGCTTGGAGTCCCAAGGGCCTTGGCTACAGAAAGTGGGAGAAAAGGATAGAAAATGACACCACACTTAGCCCTAGAGTTGAACGAGTTAAGGACCCTCCCCCATCCAGACACCCACCCCTTCGTTCCCCAAACCGTAATTCGCCAAGGAAGGATCCAGGAACTGGCAGAGGAGCAGGAGAGCTGGGGTGGGACGGGGTGAGGGGGGTGCGAGGTAACTGTGGCCGGGTGTCTCCCGGAGCTCACCCTAGGTAGGAGCACGCGCACCGGGTCTAAGAACCTGCAAGAGCCTTGCCCGGCGCCTGCTTTCTCTGGGCCCCCAGCGCGGGCCTGGCCTCCGCGCAAGTTGCTGTGCGCAGCGCCAGGGAGTGGAGGCGGCCGAGACCCTCGGAGACAAGGGGAGGGGGCGGGCCCGGGGGCGCTGGGGGCCCTCGGTCTGCGCCCAGCCGCCGCCTGCTCCACTGAACCTCCTACCCCGCCCCCACTCACCCGGCTCAGCCCCTAGGAGAGACGCGCAGGAAGCGTGTTGCTTCGCCCAGCGGATCGGCAGAAGTTGAGAGGAGTTGGCGGCTGCCTCTGGCCGGCCGGACTTTGCGAGCAGCCTGGAGAGGAGCCGCGGCCGCCGCCGCCGCCGCCGCCGCCGCCGCGGAGCCTTCGGGGCTGCTTCCCTCGCGCTTAGCCCGCAGCGCGGGTGGAGAGGGGCGGGGAGGGGGTCGGGGGCACGAGGAGAACTTGAAACTGTGTGAAGGAATCCGGAGCAGATGAGAAGGGAGGAAAATAAAACAAAGTGGAGACTGCAGAACAGACTCCACCGTGGCTGACTGTGCCGGCTGACGCTCCAGCAGAGGGGCTGGGTTGGATTTTTTTCTCCCATCCTCTCGCTCTCTCTTTTAAAGCTACACCAGCTCTCTCTCTTTCTCTACTATCTCTGTATCACCAAATCCTTGCTGGCTCTTATGGGCATGAAACACTCCTCCCGCTGCCTGCTCCTGAGGAGGAAAATGGCGGAGAACGCGGCCGAGAACACCGAGGTAAGCAGGCGAGCGAGCAGGGGCTCTCGGAGACCCCGCCGCCCACCCAGACCACCGCGCCGCCGCCGCCGCCGCCGCTCAGCACCGAGTGCCAAACTTTCCCCAGCTTCATCCCGCTTGCTTCTGCCGGCCTCCTCGTGTGTGTGTGTGTGTGTGTTGGTGGTGGTGGTGGGGGGGAGTTCATGTCTCAGGTCCCCTCCCTCTTGAAAATGCAAAGCAGCCGCTCTCACCCCATCACCCTCTCCTGCCACCCGCTGCTCCCTTCTCCTGCCCCCAAGTCCCAAACCCAGGGCAGCCGCGCTCCCCTGCCCTCTCCTCTGGGCTCCGTGAGGGCTCCCGGGTCCTGGCTTTGTGCAGAACTGGGGTGGGTAATCCTGGGGCCAGGTCTGCCGCTGCCTCAGCTTTACCCTTCAAGCTCGAGTCGGTCCCCGAGCTCTCCGTCCCCGCAGCAGCGCGGAGGGCTCCCGACCGCGGGGGCCGAGCCGGCAGGAAGATTTGGGCACCTCCTACAGACCCTCCGGCCCGGACCCGGGCCAGATAGAAGTCTGCAATCCTCAGTTGTCTGAGCCGCCTCGGGGGCTTAGCTAAATCCGGCAGGGCACGCTGGCCGCGGCCACCTTCAGCACCAGGGACAGCGTCCGCCCCTGCAGCAGCCGAGCCTGCGCGGACGGTGGGGGCCGCGCGCCGCCGGCTGCAGTGAGAAATGGGTCTGCAGCCGCTCGTCCCGCAAGGGCTTTTGAGGAGGTCGCTCTAGCTCCGCAAACTGTGTTTTTGGCCCCCGCCTTCGGCAGCTGCCTTTTTTCTCTTCTCTCCAGCTGGCCCTGAGCCACAGAGAGCCCTGCCGGGCTTTGCGTCCCAAGACTGGAGGCTGTGTTCCCTCGCCTTGCCCTGACCCCGCTGTCATTACAGTAACAGGACTTTTCCATAGGCCCTGGGCACCTGTAGTCACGAAAGGGATCAGCGTGGGCAGCCCCCTTACCTTCCTGGAGAAACGGTGCGCCGAGGTGGGGGCGGAGTGGGGCATGTGTGTGAAGATCATCCCTTACTCAGTGGCAGGAAAAAGACACGGAGAGCAAACTCCCGGGCTCTATTAATAGCTGGGTGTCTGGTGAGGCTGCCGCACATCTCACATATGGTTACCCATATGCAGCGGGGGGGCGGGGATGGGGGTGTGGCGCGGGGATTGTCCCTCTGTCTTGCCGGAATGCAAAAAGGTAGAGAGACCCTTCCTAGTCTTCTTCCCTCGAAGTCCTAACTCTGCTGCTAAACCCCCTACCCCACCGCGTAGGCAGCAGAGCTTTATACATCCCCATTCTCTGAGAGACTAGAAGGAGCGTGCATCTGGCAATTGTCGATTTCGAAACAAACACCCTCCAGGACTTGAAGGCAGTGGGGCATTCAAAAACGAATGCTGTCTCCTTGAGTTAGGGCAAAGCCTGCATGCCTGCCGTCCCCTCACCACTGCCTCTTCCCCAGCCCCCACCTGAGAGCAGACATTCGGAATGATGTGTAGTGCGAGGCGGCTAGCCTCCCAGCAGAAACCCAGCCTTATCAGTCCCCTCACCCAATCAGCCCTCTGATCGCCCACCGGCGGAAGGGGTTTCTAAAAATAACCCAGCGCTTCAAGGCCGCGCTTCTGCAAAGTGTGGAGCGAGCGGGCACGTATCGGTCTCTGCCAGGTGGCTGGAGCCCTGGAAGCGAGAAGCACTTCCTCCCTGCATTTCCACCTCGCCCCACCCCCGGCTTATTTTTCTAAAAAAAAGTTTTTGCGGGTTCCTTTGCCTTGCGGGCTCCTTTGCTGCTGCGCGGGGTCTGGGTGCAGACCCCTGCCAGGTTCCGCAGTGTGCAGCGGCGGCCGCTGCGCTCTCCCAACCTCGGCGAGGGTTAAAGGCGTCCGGAGCAGGCAGAGCGCCGCGCGCCAGGCTATTTTTACTTGCTTCCCCCGCCGCTCCGCGCTCCCCCCTCTCAGCAGTTGCACATGCCAGCTCTGCTTAAGGCATCAATGAAAACAGCAGTAGGGGCGGCCGGGCTCCTGCAAACAACAACAAAACAAACAAACAAAAAGCCACGGCGCGTACTGGGCACCAAGGCAGTGCGGCGAGGGGCAGACCACCCAGCTGGGGCTCCTTGGAGGGGTGTGAGCCAGGGTGTCGGTTCAGTTATTGCAACTTCCTTGGAGAAGGGGTAGAACCCAGACTTGGTCAAACGTGCCTAGCGGAGGCATCCAGGCAGCGTGACAATCATTTGGTTTCCCTCCAGGAACTGGCTGTTTTTGGAATAAGCCAGGACTAGAGCAGCACTTCCAAAAGTAGGGTGTTGTGGGCTTGCCTGCATTTGTGGTGGATGAGAGCGGCAGGAGCACGCCTCCATGTGTGTCAGTGGGCGGTGGGGAGCCTGGTAGTGGTCCTAGTTCTGAATTCAATACGTCTTTAGGGAGCACCGGCTCTGTACCAGGAAAGCTAGGGACCTCAGTTCCAAACATGAGGACCACCTGGTCCCTGCTCTCAAGGGACTCACAGTCTCATGGACAACTCTGAGGGGGAATCCTGCAGCCATCTTTTCCTGCTTTGTGTTGTTTATCTCATTCCATCCTCACAACAGTCCTGTGAGATAAGCCAAGATTAGTATTCATTTCTTGTTCCCATTTTATAGTTGAGGACACTGAGGCTGAGGCCAAGCAATTGCTGAAAGTCATCTGGTGGGTTAAGTCAGCCCTGAAACACAGACTGCCCCCACTTCTGATTCATTGCTGTTTGCCCTACCCTTGCTATTTCTAACAAGATGCCATGTGTGAATGGGAGTAGATGAGGAGTGGGCGGAGAGAAATACTTTGGAATGGAGAGATGCAGTGATGGGGGTAGGCAAAGATGGGAGGAGGTATTCTTTCACAAGGTAAAGATACTGAGAGATACTCCAACCGTTGGGCAGGAAGGGAGCAAATGAAGAATAAAACTACCTACATTGTGACCAAAGCCTCCCTCCACAAAGTGAAATACCCAGCTAGGGCATAAGAGCATCAACAGCACAGGCTCAGTGGGCACCATTGGCAATGGGTGGCCCTGGGCGCACTCTTCAACCACTCTGACCTCAGTTCCCTTCTCTGTTAACAAGAGAACATGCACCCAGTTCCATGCAGTGGTGCCAGTTCCGTGTACACTTTCTCCTGATCGTTCAGCCATGCCTCTCTTCCTCAGCTAAGGGAAACACTGTTCTCCTGCCAGCCTGTTCTCCTTCTCCCCTGTTCCCTAGGCTCATCAGAAACCCTTCGGGCCTTCTGGAATATTTGCAAAGCCCCCAGTCCCACTTTCCTTTTCAGCCGGTTGTCAGTGCCCGAGACAGGTCACCTCACCTCTGCCCTCACTAAGGCACTTGCCTCTGAACTGTTGGTCCTCTTCTCTAAACCAGCTTCATAATCACTACTATACTGGATCAGCCTTTGGAATCACAAATCTGCTCATGACCAGGCATCTCTTTAAAAACTTAGGATGTTGTCCTGTTGTCTACAGGACACTGGATAAAGGTCAGTTTCCTTAGCATGGTGTGTAAAGCCCATTGATACCTGTCTTATACAATTCTCGGAAAAGTACCTCCCACTGCGTACCTGAATGCTTTTGTGTTTACTCTTCCGTCTGCCTGTGCCACTCTTTCCCCCTTCTTCTTTCTGGAAAACAATCTTTTTCAACCTGCAAGACTTAACTCAAATGTTACCTCCTCTGGGCAGCCTTCCCAGATCTGCCATTTATCCTCTCTCCCTAGGGAGGGTGATCACTCTTTCTTATGTGTTCCTAACGCCTGTCTCTCACTTTTCCTATTGCAAGATAATTGGCTTTTTGTGTGTGTCTATTTATATGTCTATTAGATAATGCACTTTTTTGAGGGGGTAATACCCTGTTCTTAGCACTGGGCCTGACACACAATAAGTAATAAATGTTAATAAATTTTGACTGAATTGATTTATGTGATTGTGAACAAGCTCTTGAGTCTTCTGGGCTTTAGTCACTCATGGCTTTCTGGAAATTGGGCTTCCTATCTCCCACCCCGCCCATCTACTGTACTTAAACGTTGCTGTGGACCTTTAAAACTCAAAATGGGTAAATATTCTGGGAATCAAGGTGCTGAAGCCAGTCAAATCATGGGTACATTTTGGTTATTCATGTACCTATTCAATATTCAGTCATTATGGACTCTTATTATGGAGTGCCGATTTGAATCGCAGGTAAATGGATTAATTACAATGCCCAATTATGAACCATGGAGGGGATAGTGGACCCTTCTGAGCTGCTGCTTGCTTTACTGATTCTTGGTGAAAGTCTGATGCGTGTTCCATTATTTATGGTGATAACTCCCTGATTAGAGTTTTATCACCTCAAAGGAGGGCCCCCAGGAGTCGGAAAACAGTTTTAGCAAAGAGTCACTTTGGAGGCTGTCTTTTTGAATGTTCTGTTGACTTGCTGGCCCAGGGAGAGGGAATAATTACAGGCTGGAAAAAATCCTACAATGTGACAGTGAGACCAGGGGTTGCAGTGAGTTCCGGGGATAACTGAGCTGACTTCTGGCATGGTGTATCTTGGTGGTTTTGGCTAACAGATCTTTCTCTTCAGGAAGTTACTTTCAGGTATGAAGAATGTGGTCCCATTATTATAGGGGTCAGGGAATTGAGAAAGAGGAGGAACCAGGCCCACTTCTCTGAGGATGGTCTGCATCTATGTGTGATTCTGCAGAGTGTGTACACGAACTGACCATGCAGCCTCTGGAGCCAGAAGCTTTTCAATCCAGCTCTGGACCTAGTAGATGTGTTATTGCATTGAACAAGTTGCTTAACATCTCTGGGCCTTTTAAGATTGTTGTGATGCTGAAATGGGTTAATTCATATAAAGGGATTAGAACATTGCCTTATACATGGTGAGCTCTCAATAAGCATCTATGATTATTATCCTGCTAGCTTTTAGGAGTCTTGCCAAAAAAAAGTGCAAACTGACTGTATTCTCCCACTTTCTCAT